TTCTTTTTCCGTTTTCTTTTTTCTTAGCTCAAAGAACGAAAGGAGATAGTCAAAGTGAGCCTAGTTCAATCGTAATTAGTTTACATCTCTCCAACTGAGAGGTTGCGAGTTTGATCTCCAATCCATACTCAAAAAGAAAAAAAAAAGAAAAAAAAAGGAGGAATGAGAAATTTGAAACTCTGACCAATGCATGATCATTTTGTTTAGTTCAACAATAATAACAAGAGTAAGAAATCTAATCATCGATAAAAAAAAATAGATATCTTAACCATTAACTTACGATTGGATTGAACTGTACTCGTAATTTAATATATTTAAGGTTAAAAAACACATTTAGTCCTAGTTTTGTTAAAGTAACAATTTAGTCCATAAACTTTAATTTATGACGATTTAGTCCTTACTTTCAAATTAGTAATAATTTAGTCTCTGAACTTTAATATATGATAATTTAGTCACCGTAGTTTAAAATTTGTAACAATTTAATTGATACCGTAAAAAACAACACTTTAATTTATGTAATTTATAAACATACTCGATCATTCGACAATTTATTAATTTACATTATATAATTTATAAACATACTCGATCATTTCGACAATTTATTAATTTACATTAAAAAAAAACTGTAAGTTATAATTAATTTGCTTAGGAGGAGGCAAACAAGTCCCATTAAGGTTGCACCAACGTTGTACGCTGCAAAATTGAAAGACGCCTCGATCGGGCGCCACGTGTGATGATATGACATATTAAAATTAAATGAAGGCATGGATTTTCGTGCAACTGTTGGTGGAAAACTTGACTTTGCTGTCAATTTCACCGAAGATTTTCGTTGACATTCACGCGCCATTAATCAGACTCCTCAAATTTCAAATTGTCTGAAAGGCAATAAAATGCCCCCTCCACAATATATAAACAAAGTAAATTTCAATAATATTATATATTTATAGTCATAAATTTTAGTTTAAAATACTATTTTAATTATTGTATCGGTAGCTTCCGTTCATTTTAATTTTTATATTTTTATAACGGATTATTGGTTTTTTAACTCTGTTCTATTTTGTTAATATAGCTTACCCGAGTGGTAATTAGCACCTATCTTTGACAAGGAGGTCACGAGTTCGAAACCTCAACCTTTTTTTGCATCAATTCAAATTAAATCTAAATTTTGATCTAATGAGCTAAGTTCATGAATTAAAGTAACTTTCGAATACAGAATTGACTCAATTTAAGTCCAAATAATATTTTAGGTCGCTAATAATAAATTGGAGACTATAAACCAATGCTTGGGCAAAGTGAGAGGAAATGAGTTCAAACTCCATGATAGCTACCCGCAGAAGTAGGACCACCATGTGACGTGTGTTTTATTTAAAAAGAAAAAGATATAATCAATGCTTACCGTTTTTAGTTCGACATATAAACATTTCATCCATATGACCCAGCACAAGGGCATGACTCCAACACACCATAGGCAAGAAAACAATAATTCACTTCTTCGTCTCTTCACACTATAATTTTTGCGATCATGTTTGCGATCATGTCTCGAGTTAACCACACGACTCTCTCTTCGGTTCTATTTAGACCATCCTCACATCCCACAAAGCAATCCATAATAGGCCATAACAAGAAACTCAATGGAAAGAAACAAAATTATGTTAAAAGACATTTAATTTGTGTAGGGCATGCACAAGAAATAATTTATTTGGTTCTTTTTTATTTTATCTTTTTGTCCACATTTGACCTAACTTAGGCTAACTATTTGTCCACAGAGGTTGTGATTGGATAAAGGAAATTAGACACATTTTAGAGATCATATAGCCTATCTGTTTGTGATCTATCAATAGGGACCAAATTTGCTTTTGTGTCAGATGGGGCACTGTGACCCACATTAATATGGTGCCCTACCCTACAAAACAAAAATTAAAAATAGAATAAAAATTTTATGTACTTTTTTTTTTTGGATTGTATTATAGAGTTTCTTTGAGAATTCAAATTCAAAAGAATCACTGCCTTGTATGATTATCCAAGAGGGTCTACATTAATTTGTCTTGAAATCATCTTGTGTTGAATGAACATAAGTTGCTATATTAGATTTGAATTCCAGTGGTTTCTACTTCAAATAAACTACCTAATGTAATTATCATATTAAGCTTTGATATTGATTAGGGAGAAAAAGGATGAGAGCGCGACTCCGTTATGACAAATATAAACAAGGTAGGTAGCGAAATTCATTCGAGAAGAAATAATTACAAACGAAGAAGAATAGTTCACTATGAACGAAAAAAAGGTTTGCTTAATGTTAACAACATATTGAATGGCAGATTACAATGTATTTTAATTTGATTTAATCGTTATCACCATACACATTGAAAAATGTTTTTGAAAAGTTACGTTATTAGACTTTTAAAGTTGGATGTCATAAACCAACCTCAAAATAACTCAATTGGTTAAGGTATCATACTATCGATCAAAAAGTTGAAGGTCGATCTTGTTAAAGATCTCACGTCGGAAAGACAAGGGAACTAACAGAGATTTATAATATAAATGAGTTATTATTCTCATTGTCAATTGGTTTTGAGATGAAACCCCACATATATTAATAAACGACTGAATTAAAAAAAATCATAAATTAATCTCATTCCACATATATTAATAAACGACTGAATTAAAAAAAATCATAAATTAATCTCATTCCGTTGCCACATTCAAACCAACTCATTCATTGAACTTTGATGCTCAATTGTTTGTACGTGAATTTCTTTTTAATTTAACATTTAATAAAGTATTGGGGTGGTTTGATGATAATAGATTATTGACACGTAAAAGTATTCGTAGCTTTGAATGATTCTAGGTTCATTTAATAGCAATGTTACATAATTATGTAGGGAATAGAATATCGTCAATGCGTGGATATTTGACATTTAGAACATAACTCAATAGAGATAAGACATCAATTACTTTTTTTTAAGTTGAAGATCAATTTCTCTCCCAACATTTATCGTACAAAAAAGAATGTCGATATTGATATTCATAAATTGAATAAATTCAACATTGACATTTAAGAATTCTTCGATTTTTCTATGTACTGTAAATATTGATGATAAGATGAATATATTTCAATGGTCAATAAATTTTGATATTAATATTTCTATAAAGTTAAAATCTCAACACGTTATAGCGTTGTAAAGCATAATTCACGAGTGAAATTAGATAAACTTCAACATTGTCTTCCTTAGCCATTAATGCAATTTCCTTACTATCTTGATCAGTCAAAGATTTAGTCCACAACGTCCCATTTCTTGGAATTTGAAAAAAAAAAAAACAGAACCACTCTTTATCTTACAAATACCATTTTATTTTTATGTAAAGAAAAAAACTAGTATAAAATTTTTAAGCTTATGCACTTTTCAAAATAAGCCCTAGATATTTTGATAATTGTATTTTTAATTTTCTATGTATTTTAATCTTTATAATTTTAAAATATATCCGTTCTGATTTTTGTACGGTTAGAAATTGACTATATTGATATTTTTATTTTATTTATTTGGATCATAATTTTAACGTAACATTTCATTTACTTTTTTTATTTTATCATAAATGTGTATTAAAAGATTTTCATTGCATATAAAATTCGTGTTAAATTTTTACAAATAGATACTAAAATGATGGTATCCCTCTATAAAAGTAGAAAGGTCAAAATGTATAATTCAATTTTTTAAAAGGAACAAAAATTGAAAATACACCTGACAAAAATAACCAAAATAAAAAATACAATTGTTTTAATGAAAATTGATGTGAAACTCAAACCCTAATATATTAATAGAGATTGATTTGAAAACTGAATTGATGGAACTAACTACACAAAAACTGACCCACTTCATAGTTAAAAAGATAGACCACCATGTGTTCTTTTTAACAGCCCCATGTTAAATAACTTACCATAAATAGAAACATGTTAAACAATATTTTATGAACTCAAATCAACTCTAGTTCAAAATGGATGCAAATAACCAAACCTTTTATTTCATATTTTTAAATTCAAAAAGCGTGTGGGCGGAGAATCGAGCTTTCAATTTTAAAAAGGACGTAAATTGAGAATAACTTCGAAATATAAATTTTCAAAATCTTTTATAATTGGTCGAGGTACGCACAATAACGGTAAAAATTTTAGTATACCTATAGAAAAATTTTCATTCATTGTTTGACACATTAGCAATATTTAAGATTGTCCGAGAGAATCATCAAATAAATGATATACGTTAAAAAAATATTTTTTGTCTATGTACTTTCATTGAAGTAACGATTTAATCCATATACTGTAAATTGTAATGACTTGGTCATCGTACTTTCAAATCAATAACAATTGAGTCTTTCGTTTTTTTAGTATATAACAATTTAGTCCATATAGTTTAAAAATTGTAACAATTTAATCCCCACAATGAAAAACCTCATGACAATTAATCATCCATTCTTATTATATAATTACAATTTATCATTTTTAATTTAGAAACACATTTGGTTTCCTCATATCTAAACACAAAAAATTCTATCAAATCTTAACAACATCTTTCACAACATAGGTACTGAATCGTTAAAAACTTTAAATTACAAAAACTACTCAAATTGTTCAAATTCTTGTCAATGTACACTAAATCATTACTTTAAAAAATCCATAAAAGAAACCCTATCAAATCTTTAACCGTGCAAAAGCTAAATTGTTATAAACTTAAATTACTAAAACTCTCGTCGACGCAGACTAAATAGTTGCTTGAATAAAAATTTTGTAAAGGGCAAAGAAGAGACGGGTGAAATGGAAAAGACAAGAGATGAGATAGAGAAAAATAGATGTGATGGATGGAAATGATTGGATGTGTTCGTCCACGTGGCAGACAATGAGAGGGGTTGGGAGAGTTTGCTTGTGTCACCCCACGGTGTCTTTCTACATGTTTGCTTCACGCAAGCTTCCTCCAATTTCCCTCTCTCACAACCATTCCTCTTCCCTTCGCCTTTAAGACTCAAACCAAAGCCAAAACACACACAAACACAAGAGAAAAAGAAAAAAAAAAAAACTCGCTCAAATTTATCCAAAAAAATAACCCTCCAAATTTCCTCTAGAAATTGAGACCCCTTTCTAGTTCTGAATTAAGGAGGAGAAGAGAGAAAGAGAAGGAGGGGCGCAATGAGCGGCAGCCACGGCGGGGGACCGTGCGGCGCGTGCAAGTTTTTGCGGAGGAAGTGCGTCAAAGGGTGCATTTTCGCCCCGTATTTCGACTCGGATCAAGGCGCTGCCCACTTCGCGGCGGTGCACAAGGTGTTCGGAGCCAGCAATGCCTCCAAGCTCCTCCTCCGCATCCCTCCCCCCAAGCGCCTCGACGCTTGTGTTACACTATGCTATGAGGCTCTCGCTAGAGTTCGAGACCCCGTCTATGGCTGCGTCCCTCATATCTTCTCCCTTCAGCAACAGGTTTACTTAATTACCCTCTACTTCTACCCCCATCAACTTAAATTTGTTTGGATTTAATGGTAATTTAACGTAGTATTACGACATTATGTCGTATTATAAATATGAATGAAAACATTAAATTTACCATTAACCTAGCTGAGTATAATTTGATTTTCTTACGCCATATTTTTAGGTTTTGGTTTGGGTGTGGAAATGGATATATATAATTTGTATAATACAATTGTAAATTCCCAGATAATTAATTATCAGTTGGTATTTTGCTTGAAAACCATGGTGACTTACATTTCTAGAAAATAAATTATTAGGGTTATTTTTTGCTCAAACTTAATTGTGACCCATTTTCCAATGGAATTTTGTCAAACTATTAGAAAATAGTTCTTCAGAGGAGAGAGAAAGAGGTGGCGGCTGGCTTATATTTGGTGTTGCTTGCCTTACCAAGCAAACAAATTTAGCTGCTCGAGAAATAAATTAAAACTTTAATTTCTAGATTTGACTTTCTTATTTATACATCTTAATTTATTCTTTATAACTATTAAACTTTTTTGTTTATGAGAATTTGCTTAATTTAATTTGTAATTAGAAAAAAAAGAGGCTTGCTTACTAGTTGCTAATCATTTCTTTATTTCTCTCTCCTCTTTTTAAAAACAGTTTTTTATGTTAGATTTTAAAAATTGCTTTAAAAATACCATTTTTAAGAACAAATAAATTTGGTTGTAACAGTCTATTGATTTAATGGTCTAAAAAGTGAGTGATTTTACTTTGCATGGATATGGATTAAACTAATTACTTTATTTAAATTAAGGCAATTTTTTTAGTGTGTTTTATTTGCAACCCTTTTCTTGCTTGGTTTCCCTTTTTTTTTTTTACCAAAAATATCAATTTTCTTTGTCATTTTATGGTCTAATTTTTCTCTGTTTTGTCCCTTGAAGCAAACTCCCTACATAGTACAATTTCACAATTTTGATTATTTTCCAATCTTGGATGAGATATTCATACATATATTCGTACGTTGACACATGTATACATACATGCATGTATACATATTATTAATTTAAATAATATTCGTGTCCGTTACATTTTAAGATAAGTTAAAAAGGAATCTACGGTTAAAGTTTTAAATTTTGTGACTTGCTCTTCTCCTTTATTTATTGTTGTTCGTTTCAAGTCTCTTTTTACTTTTTATATTTATTTATATATATGGCTATTAGATTTAAAATTTTACAAAAATGGTATAAGTTATATCACACATCAGACCATTAAAAGTCACTTCTGTGACATTTTTGAAAAACAATAAATAGTGATTATTTTTATGTCATTTAGTATAATTTCTCTTTCTTTTTAAATATCTTTGTTTATTTACGGTCTAAAACAAGATGTTGATGCTTGTGGATGTTAGAGGTTCACTCTCGAATTTTTTTTGTGCATTTTTTTTCTTTAAAAAGAAAAGTTGTAGAATATGGTCCGGAGCAGAGTTAGAAATTTTATATACATAATTTTTAAATTTTTAAATTTTTAAATTTAATTAGGGGATAAATTTGAGAAAAAATTAAAATCTTAGCTGTTCTCTTTTTTATAGATTTTACATTCCATGATTAGAAGTCTAAATTTATATATATGTCTCACATAACATCCTTGGTAAAGTTTAATTCAGAGTTTAGCAAAAGTATCAATAAAATATTTTTAAAACATGTGATAATTTATTTAGAAATAATCTCCACCTTACACGTTATTGTATAAAAAAAAAAAAAATTCTTAAGATATTTTAATTGCTTTTGAAAAGAGAACGTTGGTTTGAATTCTCGTATGATGGCGGTAATAAACCTTAACCTAACCCTAATTCAGATCAATCTCCATATTGTATTTGCAGGTAGTGAGTTTGCAGGCAGAGCTAGCATACATTCAGGCCAGACTTTCCACCTTGCAGCGGCTGTTGCCACGGCCGCTGCACAGCCCTTCCCCGACCGCTCGCCCCACGTCGCTACCCGAAACGGGATCAGGCTCTGACATGGACTTGCTTTCCAATGTTCCTATGCTCCTTGATCCCCTCCAAATTCAGCCACATAATTATGGCGAAACCACGAGCTTTCTAAACCCAATTGATCAAGAGCTCGACGAAGATGGCGATCTTCAGTCATTGGCTCGAGAATTCGTGTCGAGGTACTTGCCCGGAGTAAGATTCCGGCCGCCGTGCTCTCAGAGTTGAAGACGGCCGGGCTGTTTAATAGTCTTTGTAAGCTAATTTGTAATCTCTCAGCTTCTTTTAAGTCTTTTTCGCTTCTTTCTTTTGCTTAGCCTTTTGGTATCTAACTGTGTTCATTGGTTCTGAAAGTTTGGTGAAATCTGATCAGTTGCATCTCTTTTTTGGTTCAGAATCAAAATTTGACTGTTACTTTTGAAATAACTTCATCTTTATTTTATTTTATTTTATTTATTTATTTTTGGTGTTTGATCAGAAATAGCTGGGGTGGGGATTTCTAGCAAATGGGTTTGATTAAAACCAACAGATAATGATCAAGAACAGTATGGCAATTATTTATTATTGATTAAATCTCAATAAAATTCCAATAAATTGATTCAAGTGAACTTTGTGGTTGTATGTGTTTGGAATAGACAAACATAATTGAGAGGAAGAATTTAGATTTAAATTCTATTCATGAACTTTTTGTTAATTGTAATCTGTAATTGTGAATGATTAGATGTAAGTTTCTTATAAATTAGATAAGATGGGTTTCTAAGTATTTTTTTTTCTCTACCTAAGAGGTCCATTATTGATATTTGGGTTACAAGTTCTAAGAGTTCTTGGCCTACAAATGCAAGTCCCCAAATGGAGCCAGTGGAACATTCAATACAAGAAAATTGTTGGGTTTGTAAAGGAAATGTGAACAAGTCTCACATTGACTAAGGAAGAACATCATCCATAGTATATAGATGAGGACAATTATTTTCATTGGTACGAACCTTTTTGAGTGAAACCAAAAGCAAAGTCGAAGAATTATGCGTCCAAAGCGGACAATATCATACTATTGTAAAGATACTTGGAGTATGAGGGTATCCGTTGTCCTTGAGCTATTCGTATAAATATAGATATATATAACACACACAAAAAAAGTATGAAGGAGGGGAAGATTTGAATGTTCTTGATAAAATAGGTCCAGGGAGTTGTTTGGCTTGACTCTATGATAGCTCATGACGAGGTAAAGGAAACGACTACAACATGATTAATGAAAGGCTTGGTTAAAATTTGTATGAAAAAGAGATTATTGCAAATAATAAGTTATAACTTAGACAAATAATTGGGAATGTTCTGTGGTCAAATGCCCTAGGCTCAATTCATCGAAATATTTGGCTAGAGCGCAACAACCCGCCTTTCAATAATTTTTCAAGAATCACAAAACAATTATATGAGATGATATTATTCTCGATGCTTCGTCTTGGTCATCCAACATCGTACTAGCTATTTATATATCTATCATTGTTTTTAACTAGAGTGCTTTTATATTTAGCCTATTCTTACTTATATATATATGTTTGATCTCACATATCTTTCCATCAAGGCAATGGTTTTTATATCAAGAAAAAAAAAACTATATGTTGATGCCGATTTATGGGTGAGGTCTGCGTGGGTGTCATGTACGTCTTCATCTCCAAGGTTTCTTCATCTCCAAGGTTTTGATACCCACGCACAGAAATCTAATGATAGTGTGTGGTGCTATGTCAAATGCGCTCTAGTGCTTTTAATTTAGAACTAAAGTAGCGGGAGTAGATGGGTATGGAGCATAAAGAGTGAAAAGACAACTATCTCAAGGGTGAGAGTCTGCTTCACAGGTATCTAACCGATTCATACCTAACGATTTTCCACAAAGTGGTGACGAAAGGTATAACTTGTACAAATCTTTCCATTTTCCAATTCGATCCGATCCATTCGTTCGTCGAGCTATTTACTCGATCGCAGACATTTCTGGAACACCTCTAACAGAGGGACAAATAGTCAATTTTGAAAGAACTTATTGTCAACCTCTTTCAATATGAATCTATCTGATTCAGAGGGGAAGAACTTGCATCAGTATCTCAATTTCAATTCAAACATGGGTTTGATTCACACTCCATGTTCTGAGAAATATTTACCATCGGAAACACTCTCTCTCCTTCCCTATAACGAAAAGAGCAACCCTAATCAAGGTAAGCTGCATTTTCCTCACAAGGAATTGTGTAAGGAAAATGCAGCTTACCTTGATTAGGGTTGCTCTTTTCGTTATAGGGAAGGAGAGAGAGTGGTGGAGCATGATGGACAGCGGCCAATTGGGGGAGTGGGGACCTCTTTCGACATTCTATGTCATTAATTTTCCTACTAGCGCAAAGTGATGGGGCGGTGTCTAGGGCATCAATATTCATGGGTTTCCATCTCAAGATCCACTTATATTATAAATCCAAGATAGATTGTGACATTGTGACTCTTTTGGATTTACCAATCTTGGCCAGATCTCATTTTTTGACTGGATATTTGTTTGAGCTTTTTGGCTCTAATACCATATCAATATTCACGGGATTCCATCTCAAAACCAATCAACTATGAGATGAGTAAATTAGTCCACTTATATTATAAACCCTTGTTAAATTCTTTATCTTTTCAATGTGAGATCCTTAACATATGACACGCTCTGACATAGTGTCGGACATCCATTAGGTGAGTTTGTTGCTAAGTCTGATCTCCTCTTATTTATAGAGGGAACCTCCTTGGGTTGGTTCAAGTTAACCAGCTCAATCGAGTTCGATTTGGCATAGGTCTAGTATGGTCAGGTGGTCCGACTCGAGTGATTCGATCTGAGTAGCTCGACCTATATCGTTTTTCCTAACTCCAAATCATGTTAATTTGATGGGATAATTTCAAACTCAAAATCAAATGTGTATATTTGTGGCCAAAATAGACGTTGATAGTGAGAGATGATGAGGTAGATAACTTCAACGGCCAGAGTTTCCAACGCAACTTCCTCCTCAACTTAACGCTGAATCCTACTTGGTCAATATAATCACTATGAAGAAGAACATCCAATTACAAGAATCTACCAAAATTTTAGGGCTCCGAGTGCTAAAATGTGACGTTTTCGTTTCTCGTTTTCTATTTATATTTATTATTTTTCCTATCATTTTTTTTTGTTTTTAAAAAATAAAATCATTTTTGGTAACTATTTTTTTACTGAAAAAAATAAAAATACATTTGATGATATTTTTTGTTTCTAGTTCCCTAAAATTTAAAATTTATTTAAATTAAATATTCAAAATTTTATGTTACATTTATGTTAGTATTTTTTATGTTTTTATAAGTGAAGATTAATATAATAAAAAATATATATACTTAAATCGTTTTTTATTGATAAAAAATGAATCCAAACCAAGACTTTGTGGGCAAATGCTCCTATATTATATTTCATATGAGAATTCAAGTGGGGCTTTAATCACCCATTTTGCTTAAATTTTGCAACTTTGAATTTGTCTTTGGGAAATGTTTCTTTAAGGCTATGGGTGTTGATTTTCTATATGCAATCAATGTAACCAACAAAGTAATTTCCTCATATTTGTTTTTTACATTATATTTGTAGGATAAATATGTAATTTTAGTCTTCATGTTTTGGGTCCTATTTTGATTTGATTCATATTTGATTTTTTTCAATATATTATATATATATATGAATTTAAAAATATTCATTTTTTTGAAGTTCTCAAATTGTAGTATACTCACATTTTAATGGGTACATTTTTTATTTCATAAGATGTAACTTTGCGTCACAGGTAAGTTTAAAAAATTACCACATGTTAAGCCAGTCAAATGAAATAAGTAAATTTTTCATCTATTTCAAAAATTACCACATGCTAAGTCGTCATATAAAATGAGTAAATTTTTCATCTATTTCATCAGTAAGTGATATGTTTATTTCATAAAATTAAAACATAACACATTTTAAACTGAATTAGTAACGTATTTTAATATTATATCTATCATTTTTGTCAAGTAATTTTAAATGCTTCGTGACAATAAGAATTTGATTGCAAAAGAATCAAAATACATTAAGGATGAAATTAAAACATTTGCACAATTAGGAACCGAATTGAAAAAAGAACCCAAAAAATCAAAGTGTTAGGATAAGAGAGTCTCATCCCATTTTTATCTACTTTCGACTTAAGTATAGTATGCATAATTATTATTTTTTTCTATCTAAAAGATCTCATGCCAATAGAAATATTAACGTTATATATATATTACACATACTTTTTCAATGTCCAGCAGATGTGAAACACAAACGATGTTTTTTGGAAAAAAATATATTAGAAAAACAAAAAATCCATATTTAAAAGATACATAAAATGTGCTCTCTAAGTGCTATAAAAAGAACTCGTGACTTTAGATTTTATTTATCCCAATTAGCAACACTTTATGTCTGGTATACTAACTCTAGTGGTAAGTGGTATAATATTTTGAATGTGCTTTTTGTAACTGGGGTTGGGGTAATACTTTCACATAGTGGAACTCTTCATGTTGGTGGGCGTAAGTTTTTCTCCGCTTTGGAGTTTCTACGTAAATTCTTATGTTTTTTTGGCTAAAAAAACAATGACAAAATTGATAAATCATGCTATAAGAACAATATGAAATGAACTCAAAGCTATGAAAAAATTCTCTCTCCCCTTTTGCGGCCAGCCGCTTTGTTTTGGTCTTTCTACCTTTGTAACTTTCTTGGAAGTTTTTCTTCATTTTGCGTGTCGAGAAAGATTATTAAAATCATGCATATAAATAGAATTGCCTTTAGAAAGATACATAATTGGATTTTGTTTTTTTTGTTTGGAATTGAAGTAATTTAAGGGGCATGAAGAATCTTTACATATTTGTTCTTTTGCTCCTTTGCACCACTATTGCACTCAGTTTCTCCTTCTATTCCTCATCCCTTTTGGTGAATTTCAAGCATCGAAACTTCCTCCTCCCGTTGTACGAAATCATTCGGGTAAGGAAATCGAATCGTGCATCGATGTTTCTTGCATTTAACACCATTATTTTCATCCTCTTCTGCCAGAAGGTTAAGCGATCGTCGCTAAGTGAAGGAGAAGTGATAGAAGAATTGGAAGAAAGTTATAGTAGAAGCGATGACAAAGTTAGTAGTTATGAAGATCGTGTTTATGATAGTTACGATAAAGATGGCAAAGAAGAGCTTTGAGGTGATAATTTGGAGAAGAAGGCTCAAGAGTTCATTGACATGATGAACTCTTTTTGGAGAGAAGAATTGGTATATGATAGGTTTGATCTCTAGATTCATTGTCAAAGTTACAATATATATGTAAAGCATAATTATATTTAATATTTGGACTTCCTAAGGTCTTTATGTTCTTTTTTCCTTTCCTTAGGGTTGTGCTAATTCCTATTTGTTTGTTTTAGAAACACAAATGGGATAAAGAGTTAACAAATAAAGGTTTATATATATTTGGCTTCTTTTTTTTTTTAATTGTTTTTTCTTCAATATACATCAAATTTGAATAGTACTCATATAAGTATGTTTAACAATAAGAGGATACAGCTCGGTTCTTGATTATAAATTCTAATATTTATATTTATATCATGTTTAATGTGATTCATTACCATTATGTTATAATCCTATTTTTCCAACAGTGGGGACACAGATTCTATGATTTATTGCAAGTACAATCACTAAATTTGAAAATTTAAAAATATAGAGTAAACTAGAACAAATGTCATAGTACAGTAACCAAAATAGTATTTGTCACTCTTTTACTTTTAAATTCCAACCCGCTCTCAAACGCGAAGAAACACTCTTTTACACTCTAAGATCGTTTGATCTTATAAACACAAACCTTTTAGAATCAAAGTAATGACCAAAAAGAAGGGGATTCAAACCAACTTCATAAGTATTCTTATTTGTGTCCATAAAAAGTATCTCTCATAATTAAAAGTCGGAGCTTCGCTCTGCTATTCTCAGGGGCACCCACGCCCACCCCAAGGTCGGGATCCTGGAGACATCAAGGATTTTTTGTACTAAGCTGATCAGAAGGTTCGAGAACTCGAGACCTCTAAGTCAGTATGACCAAGAGACCTCAAGTCTTTACCAACTAATGTACACCGTGTTAGTCGTAAGTTAAGAATTTTAAAATATGAAAACTCATAAGAACGTACTAACTATATATCCCAGTTCTTCTCTAAAGCTCCCACGCTCGAAATCATCCTGTAAACCAATTCAAATGTGTTACACAGTTTAGTGATGTTCATAAAATCAGCACCAGAAGTGTCACAAGTATCTGTATATATGTACCAGATCAAAGAAATGAATGAAAGTATGATAAAATAAACCATCTTCACAAACCGCTGCTTTTTCTCCCAGCCAATCTGGTTATAGATCTCGGTCACATCTGCAAGGTGTTCTTTCCTGACATACCTGAAAGTGGTGACCATCAAAATTCAACTCAAGTAATTAAGAGCCCTCCTCCCAGGTGATTTATCTCTGCTTTTAAGTTGCAATTATTTACACCATAGAATGAAGTCGAAAGCCGAGGTTTAGAATTAAGAAACCGCGCCTATGACGACTATGTTTGATCAAGTACATGGAAGCTCAAGTGTTCAGAATTCTAGTGTACTGCGCTGACAGAAAAAAACTTTGATTGAAAGCGAATAGGTTTTAACTTAGTTTTTCTCAGGATAAAAGATAATAGTCATAAGTATCTGAGCTAGCTTACACACACCTCAATTAACCTTGTAGGACAAAATCCCAACTATATAACATTTGGTTGTTAGAAAGCTTTTAGAACTTTGATATTTTAGGTAGGTGAACGAACTCATTCCCCCATCGTTCCTTCTACTATTTCAATTGTCATAGTGACCACTAAACCAACCCACCATGGTTTCAAACTTTCTTTTTTTTTTTATTCAACGACACATGGAGGTGAGGATTCGAAACTCCAACCTTTTTGGCCGATGATATATAGATCCGTGAGTGTCCAGACCAACTTACACGCACCTCGACTAATCTCACGGGACAACCGCCTGACCCTACAACATTTGGTGCCAGGAAATACATAGAAATTACTAATTCATAAGGTAGGTGGTCATCATGGGATTTGAACCTATTCCCTCTTAATTACCGTAGCCCCTTCGGACAAATCAAAATGACTTAAATAGGCATTTTTAAAACCAAATCCTAATCAAATCATTGAACATTTATCTGAAACTAAAAGAAACCAGATCTTCAGAATCCACTCAAGTGCTTTTATTGGAAAGAAAAAGAACAGTTCATACAGTTCTTCATTATATTTCTTCCTAAGTTATATCAGAGATTAAATACTGAACTTTCAATTTACAATATTCAAGCCATCTGTCCCCCAAAATCAACTTATTTTGAAACGCCAAGCATACAAAAACCATCTAACTTTTGAACCTGTAATCAACATTTTTCAAACACAATGCAACATCACAATCAAACAGTTTTAACACATGAACGAATTGGTGAAGAGAATCAGTTTCGAAAGATCATGCTTTCATACCCAGTTTAATCTCATATGCCATTCTTCCAGTAACAAAAACAACGTCAAGTGTGAGTTTGAGATAACTTTTGATAATAAATTTTTCTTTCCCTTTCATCATCATCATGAGTGTCTGGACCAGCTTGTGTACACCTAATAATCTCATTGAGCAACTGCCTAACCCTACAACAATTTGTGTCATAAAACACATAGAAATTACTAATTCCTAAAGTAGGCGACCATCATGGAGTTTTAACCCATTCCCTCTCAATTAATCCTAACTCCTTTGAAACAATGAACGATAGTTCAGTATATTAAAAAGCAGTTTTCATAATTTTCATAGTATTCAGTATATTCTCATAGCATTATGAGTTGAGTTGGATTTAAGAAAGCAGAACTTACAGTCTGATATTAAAGCATAGGCAAGGAAGAGACACCAAAAACATGAACCAATGCCGTGCTAGAAGATGGACAAAGCAGAAAACCGCCTGAGCAACAAATTCAAGCAACACAACTCTGTTTATCCGAGACGTCGAATCGAAGAGGTTGATATAGTCCGATTCCAAATCCACCAAGCATATGTTCTGCAATAGAAACTCAGTCCATAATCTTTAGTTTCGTTTGTCTTGAGCAGATTTCTAATGTTGAAAGTACTCTATGCAAAAGCAATAATCTGTGATCCTTCAATTAAATAATCCCTCTTCGACAAAAATTCCTTCTCCCAATTTTTCTTCACAGTTACTACACACATTTTCTCACTATCGTATCTTGATTTTCGCAATCGAAATTTAAGGCACAAACACAAATTATAAGCCATTAGCGAAAAATCGAACAGAAACAAAAATTACCTGATAGCCAAGAATGAGGAGAAGAAATATAAGGATGAATAAGTTGAAGAGCCAAGCAAATAGGTCTCCCATGGCTCCGTCATTCCCTTATTGGTGCTCTGTTTTCTTCTTCTTCAAGCTTTCTTTCAGATTCTGAGTGTGATTTCCGAAGGAAAACCCAATGAAGGAATCCGGAATGGATTCTCCATTTTCAATTGGTTCGGGTTTCGAATTTCGCAGTGAAATTTCCTAATTATAGCTCCGAAGATATTATACTCGCTTTTACACCATCAAGAAATAAAAATAAAGAGTTTAATGCGTTTTGTAGTCTAACAAATAAGTATTTTACCCATTTAAAATAAGTTAAAATTTAGTAATATTAATATTATGTTTTTATTAATGGTATTTTGTCAATTTTTTATTTTTATTTTTTTTTTATGGTACTACAAAAATATTGATTTACCCTACAGAAATATTGGAAATTTTCGACATGTTGGTGAAAATTTAGTACCATGTCTAAGCCTAGAGACAAATATGATGAGTATCCACTTTGTTAGAAAAAAAAAAATTGAAATATATATCAGTTTTTATAGTGGGGAAATTTAAAGTCAAGTATATATATTTATATGCTTAAAACAGAAAGTTTTAATTAGACATGCAAGCAAAAATCGAAAAAATTCAAAGAATAAATAATAAAAAATAAACAAACAGTTAGATTATAAGTTTAGTCAAAAATTTTAAGTTTGTCTAACAAACTTTAAAACCATCTAATAAATCTTTGACGTATTTCAATATTTTTTGGATTTCTTTAAAAAAAATATGAATTAATGTTAACATTTATTAGATAGGAACTTTTAATACATAATTACAAATTTTAGGACCCATTATATACTTTTTAAAGTTCAGACTTATTGGACACAAACATGAAAGTTCAAAGGTTAAACTTGTAATTTAACTATAAATAAAAGTCGGTAGAAACGAGTCAATTTGACTGTTATAAACTATACTTTTTGATCAGCTCGATTTTCAGTACAGAACTACAAATCATTCAATTAGTTCAATTTGGATAAATTTTGTGGCAGAACCTCATTACAACAACAAAAAATAACAAATATATGATTTAGAGAAAGACATCAATGGTGCACTGATGCAAATACAAGCTTGTGGGGCCAATTTTAGGCCCCCTTTATATGAACAAATTGACGTGCTACTGTTGAAGGGATTGCCGGAAAAAAAAACTATCCCCCATATAATATTTCACATCATTTCCATCACAATTGAGGAATTTCCTCAAGAAATCTATCTTTTCTTCGATCCAGTTCCTTCACCACTACGAACTCTAATTAGATTTAGGTATGATACACTTTTTAGTTATTGAGAGAATCCAAGTACTCTCTTTTGAATCCAAGTTTGACCATTTTTCCAGAGGAAAAATCTCCAAAAAGTTCGACGATGTCTGACATAGACAAATATGATGGAACTAGTTGTTCTAAGACTCATCTGTTGCTATTTTTCTCAAATGTAGATTCTATGAGGCTCACTCAGAAGCAGATGGCCATGGAGGAAGGTGTTGTACTATTAGGCAAGTAGCGGTTGTAGTCTCAATCTTTCTTGTAGCTTTGGGGATTTTTTTATGCTACTTTAGGATTAAAAAAAAGGCTTCGTATATGTATAGAAAAATAAAATAAAAAAATGTAATGAACAAAAGTTTATAAGAGCTGTCTTCTAATGGAGCCCATCCATCTTAAAAGCTGTCTACTGGAGCCCATCCTTTCTTCTCTAGTTCCAGTCTCAGAGCCTGATATTATAATATGCATGGCCAAGGGAACAGTGGATTAATGAAATGAAGTCAGATGCCAGAGACATGAGAAAAAAAAAATGGATAAGATTTCTGTTGCTGGGAATTCATTCACCTTGATCCTCTTTCTATTGATATCGAAATCGAAATTTCCGATTCGGGATGCTGATCGGTATTCTACTATCGACTTCCCGCCTGGTGGAAACCAAAACTCGACGTCGTCCACAAACTAATTTGCGCAAAGAAAATTAGTCGCTTTCTGTTAGTGTTTCGAGTGAAAGTTCATACATGTTTTGGTGAGTTGTGAAGCTTAAACTTACCCCTAATATGGGACTTTCGTATTCCACTAGTAAATAGTCGTCTTTCTGCTCTACTATCTTCGGCTTAAACTTGTCGGGTTTTGTTGATTTAATCTGCAACAAAACAGAGAAAATGTCAAAACTCAATTCTCAAGAACAGAAATGTGTTACACCGTTAGTTTTAAATTAGCATGTACATCACAGCAAAAATCAACCAAAATTTTCAATATGAAAGGGCAGGTTCTTGGTTTTTACCACTTGGATAAGTTCCTGCATTGCCACTTCTCTGCTTACAGGGTTTTTCTTGCCTCTTCCTTCTTCTGGGTTATAATTCCTGCCAAAATTCAAAATTAAAAAAAAAATTGATAATCACAACTCCTCATCATCCTCTGAACAACAGAATCAGAGCTACAACGCCTTGAGACATCTCGTCAATCGTAGAACTATAAAAGTTGTCACAAACTTTAGCACCATAAATTCTTAATCTCATAGTTATATGTTTGTCATTAAGCTTCATCACGAGCTTATATTTAACAACAGTATCTTTCAAAAAAGTGGGAATATAGTCTTGTAAGTTTAGACAAATATGTCAGAATGATTCAAGGTTGGTTAACAAGTTGTCCTCAGACCAAAAGGATTGACTACTTCAGTTGAAAGCTTTACAGCCCATGTCGATATTCTTTAACTAATAATAAAAACATGCATCATCATATCGCACTATTGATCACATCCATTTTTTATCATTAAAAAAAAAGGCACATGTTTTGTGTTCCAAAAAAGAGTTGAATTCCATATTAAATGTGAAAACTGAAAGTGATGCCCTCCTAAATATTGTGGGCTACAAAGGTCAAAAATGTTGGGCATAATTTTGACTTTATTCTTTAGTTTGGTTTGGCCAACAAATCATCATATGACGATTTCCTGCCTGGTCCTATCAAGATCCTTTTTCACATTCTCACATGTTAAAACTTAAAAGCACCACTTCAGAAAAAGTGTGATGCAGACATTTGAAATGAGTTGTCTTAAACAAAGTCAAACTTATACTACAATATCAGCTAGAAATTAGTATACTATTCAACTCTTCTGTTAAACTTTATATTTTAAACTATTGCCACTTTTTGGTAAGAGTAATGAAACGTGCTGATTTCCGCAAGAGAAAGTTTGTTCATATTAAATTTACTACACAAATAAATCGTTTTGTAACTTTGTTGTTGAATTTATTTTTTCAGAAAGTATTGCATAATTAAAATGTAACGAAAACATTAAAAAAAAATTGACTCTGTAGATGGCTTCAAACAACATCATACATGATTACAATGGATGAACAGTGTTCATGTATTTTACCCAAAAAATATTAGGAGAATCATTTTCAGAACTTCAATGAAAATTAAGTGAAGTATTTTAATGGGAAAATAGAGTTACCATGGTGGAGCATAATGGGTAAGATCACTGACATTTTCTGAAGTAGATATGCAGTTCTTAGTTGCTGGACACAGTGCCAAACTTGGTTGGTTTTTCTGCACACCAAGATATTCAGGCTTTTTTCCACTGCATGAAACACAGATTGCAGCACTTAATAAAAACTCGTATCCCTGTCCAAAAAAGAATAGAAGTTCCCTGCATTTCTCCCTTTTCTTTTAAACACTGTAGAATTTGGTTAAATTATATCCCTCTTCCTTCTACCTCTACGTTTGTCTCAAAATTGTCTTAAAACTTTAAAGTTTAAGTTTCTATTTTTCTATTTCAATTTTTTCCTGTTTTTTTGAGCCCTCCCCAATATCCAGACCTGTGAGATATCAATAATTTTTTGTATTAAACTCGTCAGAAGATTTGAGCTTGAGATCTCTAAGCCAGTAGGACCAAGAGACCCAAACCCTTGCCAATTGGGCTGCCCCTTGGATGCTTCTCTACTTCAATTTATTGATAATTAGTACTGTAGATTGGCGACCTGAGCATAACTTAGTTCGATCTATTCTAAAGGTTAAATGTTCTAAGTCTCCACCCTACATTAATTAGTAAACTCAAAAATAAAAATTGGTACTATAGATTGCCACAACAGTGATGTGAGCTGCTTTATAGTAGTGACCGACCATAGTAGTTAATAAGTTAAGTAGAATGGTACGAAATGGACATAAATGTGAAAGTACACCCGTAGATTTTAACCAAAGCTCATGGATAAGAAATTGACAACTAAAATGCTGGGCACCAAAAAACCAGATAGGATGAGATTTCCGAGTCACAAAGTTAGCACACATCATTAAGCAGCTCAACATCACAAACCAGAAACAAATTTCATCAATTCGTCCAATAGGAAAGAGATAAAGGAAATGTATCGACATGAATACCTCAAGTTAAAAATCGCTCCAAGCACAGCTAATTCGCTGCTCCGCAGCACAATTTCCCTTCAAGACGAAACAATTCACATTTAGATAGTCCAGTCCTTAACGAGACAGAGCGAAAGATAGAGAGCGAGAGAGAGAGTACCTTCTATTGATAATATCTGCGGATTTGTCGCGGTTTTGGTGCTGCTGGTGACACAGGACACGGGGGAAGGTGGAAGTAGAAGCGTAGCGTAAACGTACATTTGTGAGATGCTTGCAGGAACAATAAGGGCTAGAAGACGCGATGGAAGCCATTGACGCCATTGAAGCCATTGAGAAAGCTTCAGAGGGAAAATTGGCTTAACTGTGGGATTGATTTTGATATAACGGGTAGTGTATATATAGCCGGCGCACCGTCCTTCCCTTCCCCACCATTTGACTTGGAAAAAAAAAATCAATATTAAAAAAAGAATGGAACTCGTTTTATGAATGATGATTCTTTTTCAAAAAGAGAAAAACAAAAAATTAAGTTCGTTTTTCTTAAAAAAAAAATATATATATAAACAAAAATATGTTTAATAACTATTCTCCGTTTCCTATTTTCATTTTTAATTTTAATTTCTTTATTATCCTATTTAGATAGGTAGTTAAGGTATTTAATAGATTCTTTTTTTACAATATTTAATAGATCAATGAACATGACATATTAGACATTTTTCTAATTCACATGCTTATGAAGAATATAAGGTTGAGAGGTTGAGATTCTATCAAACATAAAATTTAATTTTGTATTAATAGCTCTATAAAATTTAGGAACCGATCTAAAAAACTAAAAATTTTATTTTCTCACGACAAACTTCACATATTTTTTCACTTCTCTTCTTTCTCGTACCCGATTACAATTCAACTAGTTAAAACATCTATCTCCAAATCAATAGTCTATGTGTTGTACTTAAAAAAAGCATATCTACGACCTACGACCACCAATATTCCTATGAACAATATTTAAATGTTTACTTATAATTAAAAAGTTTAACGGAGTGAGCAATGATATAGGTGCTGACCTAAGTTGTTTTTTTCTTTTTCTTTTTTTTTTTTTTTATAATTCTCATTCCCTCTCAAAATCTCTATTTATCTTCCTCTCTCCTCCTCCCCCACTCACAAAGCTGACTATTCTCCAACCGGCCAAATTTTTTACTTGTGTCATTGCTGGTCTGCTCTATATACTTCAACTGACCCGTATGATTTTTTACCCTCTACTGTGAGATCATGTTTACCTCGAAGAAATCAGAATGAATGAATGAGAATCAATTTTTTTATTCTCTTTTAATGGTGTTTATCAAATTGTTGAAATGAGAATAAAATAGGCAATCACATTTCTATCCTCGTCAATTTCATTCTCATTCCCTATTCCGTGGATTCCACGTATTTATTGCATTCGCTTTTTTATTTTTAACCTTTAATTAATTAATGAGACCATAACTTTTTATTTAATTCTTTTATACTTTTTTTTTCATTTATACTACTAATAATTTTTCTTTTAGTAGTTAATGTGATATTATTATAAAATTTTTAATTTTTAATTTAATTTTGTTATTATTAATTAATGTCAATTTTTCTAAAATATAATTCATTATTATTAATATTTTATATTAAATGATGATGGTTCTAATAAAATAGTATTTAGTGGATGTAATTTTATTTTTATTATTTATTATTTATTAATATTAATATTAAATAAATTGTTTTGATAAAAAAAATATTTACTATCAATAATATAGTAATAAAATAAATTATTATGTAATTAAAAAACTTGCACCAGAATGTATTTGTGATAAGTTAGAAAGAAGACAGGGTATACTAGTAATTGTCATATATCTAATTCCGATTTCGAAAATTTTCTGGTAAACAACATCAAATGAGTAATCAAATGATCCAATTCGTTCTCTGATAAAAGGAACTGTTAAAATTTATAAATAAAATGTCGATGTATCATTAAATTATTATTTTATTAACATAGGAACATAAAACGTACCATGCAAACATTACTTAGACAGGTAAAATCCAACTCATCCATTAAAAAGATCGAACCCGACATCAGAAAATTTATTCTGTAAACAAATTTTGACGATTCTTCTAAAAGACAAACTTAATTAAACCTGTTTAATAGTAAAATTGAGAGGTTTAAAAGAATTGATAACTGAAAATTACCTAAAAATTGGAAACCAACTAATATATTTCATTTTCAAATACAATACAGAAATTCAGTTATTTAAATGCGCATACATTTTTTTTAGTACAACATAAAATATGTGGACACACGACATCTTAATTAATCAATCAAAGCTATGTTTAAGTTGGACTAAACAAGCATAGGAGCTAAATTAAAAAATAGGTAATTTTCAAACACATAAATAGAGACCTTCTCTATCATTCTTCTACTTTCAAAATGCACACTAACAATTTTAAATGTAACATAATTGTTTAAAAATATTTTATAATAAAAATCAAATTTTTACAAAGAAAAAAAAAATTATCAAATACATTTATGTTTCTTTATCTTGAGAAACGAAAAAACAAGAACATTACCGAACCGAATCTAAAATATCCAATAGAAAGAAAGAATTCAACTCCAGGATTTGGAGAGGACAAAGATCAAATCAAATCAAACAGAAAGAGACTTCAAATATGATAGAATCGTATCTTCAAAACTCTATATCCATTTGATATTGACATTCCAATTCCAACTCTATTAGTTTCTCTATTCGTATATTCAGCTCAAGGAACAAAGCTAACTACAGCAACACAAGGAAATAGAGTCCCTTGGCTATGTATATAGTATTACAAAATTTCGACAATGGCTGACCATAGCTTTGGTATCTCACTGCCTCAATAAGAAACAAAGCACGCCTGTATTTTGCGATAAGCGATGTGTTATGAACTAATGGACTCTTACCAATTCGACATCGTACACGAGCCATGAATCTGGTGGTATGTTTTCTCCATCTCCTTCATTCCCATATCTGCAATAAACATAAGCATTTTAAGACAAAAGAAAAAACATCAGTGCAGAGAGAGAAAAATAATGGTTTCTCTCATACCCCATTGAGGGCGGAATGGTAAGTCTCCGTTTCTCGCCGACTCGCATACCTGAGGATTTATGAGCAGAGATATATTCATAAAACTAAGATATGAAGGAAAGAGAAATTAGATTATTTTGACACCAAATTTGGGCATGAGATCTGTACCATCAAGACCAGCATCCCAACCCTCTATAACTTGCCCAATTCCTGGAGAAAGCAAGATGTAGAAGATCATCAATTTAAATAAATGAGCGAAAAAAATCATTAATGCACTATTACAAATGAAATCTTCATACCCAAGCAGAATTTGTAGGGAGTCTTATCGTCCGTCGAATCAACTATTTCACCACTCTCCTTCAACTTACCAACATAAAGCACGCTAACCTGAAACCAAACAGAAAGTCAAGAATTTGAATAACATTCTAACTTGTGTCAGTAGTAAAAGAAGAAGCATTCAAAATCTGTATATTCAAATCAAATGGATCTTGCCTTTCTCTTTGAAGTAGCAAGTTTTCCATTTGGTTTCCCTGCTTCTAGTTCTTCAATAACCAAGCCACTAGGCAATTTTCTAACTTGAGATGAGTTGGAAGTACCATTACTTTCCTTATCCTCAGTTTCTTTGTTCGGCTTCTTTTCACCTACTGATGAGAGAGACAATATATCTGACTTCAGAGAATCCCCATTCTCTAGTGGTTTGGTCTTTTTCTTCTTTGTTTTTTTCTTTGCAATGGGTTGATTTTCAGTCCTGAACATAATGCAGTTGAAAACAGTGAACTTGAAAATACTATAATAATGCTACAATAACAAGTAATGATTGTATATTTATTAGAAACAAGAACGTCCTTAGACATTGTGGCACACACAATATTAGGACACTCTGGCTTGCAGCTTTGCAAGTGCAAAGTTGAAGGAGAGTGAGCTTTCCGTCTAATCGTAGGACAACATAAGCCATTAACCATAATCACAGTGATCAGTGGCTGGAAGCAAGAAACCAAGGCCTCGACCTAATCGAATAAGAATCTAGATAGATGGTCCATATAATTCATTCGTCTACAAGTAGAAGTATTTATATTATAAAAATAACAAAAAAAGACATTAGGGTTGTTTTTACCATGACAATGCAAATTAAATCAGTTTAAATAATTTTGATTCAATTTCAAGGTGACAGACTTTTTCCAATGAATTAGGGATATCCCATCAAAATATCATTAGCATTGTGGCTGAGCTGCATTAGTGCTACTGCATTATCTTCCCCTGCTGTTTTGAGGGGAAAAAAATGACAAAAATGCAGCACACATAAACTGCAAATAATCACATCATCCAATTTTTTTAGGCATATACGAAATCAATAGTTAAAGAGACTTCACACTTACTGATCAGAAGTCGGTTGCAAATCTTGGTCCATCTTGTCAGGCTTAAGATCACATGTACCGATACTTTCAATAATTTTCCCCTGTTCTGACCCTCTCTTCTTTTTCTTTTTTGGTCTCTCACTATCTTCAAGGCCCACATCAGCTGAAGGGAATGATAAATTATCAAGTAGCTCAGCTCCAGTGCTAGAAGATGACAAAACCAAAGAAAAGAAATGTAAAAGTCAGCATGCTAAAGATAGACGTGCAAGATTTAATTTGAAACGAGAAGCTAGAGTAACTTAAATAAATGTGATTTAGCACATATGAATATCTGAAGCCGATACTCACCTGGTCTCTTGCTTCTCACTGCTCACGGTCAGCTCCATCTTCAAGTCTTCTTGCTGGATCTCAACTCCTGAAGTGGCATAACTACAGCTATTACCATCAGCTTCAACAGATTTTCTCTTAGATCGACCCCCTTTTCGTTTCTTCTTACATTCACCATCAACTCTTCTGGATAAATCCCTACATCCAATGTGCAAACAAGATGACTTGACGACAGAAGCAGGTATCAAGCACTAACGGAGCTAGTATATTGGTTGACATCATTCAGAAGTACCAAAAGAAAACAGCTTCATTAAGAAACAAATTTCAGACAATGATATAAACTAACATTACAACCTATCAAATTAAATCCCTCTCTCTCTGTCTCCCTATCACAACCCCAGCTAGCCATTAGATGAAACTAAGCTGTAGAATCAGTAGTGTATAGCTATTTCTTCCGGCTTCTCCTTCTTTTCTTAGTTCGTTTATTGTTTGGTGGGGGATTGGAATGACACCTACTTCTGCGATGATAGGTGGCTGGAGGGTAGAACTTTTGCTCCTTGTTTCCTCACTTGTATCATCCTTCTCCCATGAGAGGTTGGTGTTCAAAAACCACCAAAGAATTATGTTTCTCTTTAGGCCTTGGTGTTTAGAGATTTTTGTAATTACTCCTTAGGTTTGATCTTGTTAGATTGAAGCCCCTTCTTTCAGTTTAGCTCCTTTTGTTGGACTGTATTTTTGTATTCTTTTATTCCTTCTCAATGAAAGAATGTCTTCTCAACCAAAAAAAAAAAAACAGTAGAAACCTAGATAAAATTTAACCACTCCAGCAGTTGCTCTTCAAGAATATGGCCTACTCAGCCTAATGATACTTGGCACCAACCTGGTCTTTGTTTTCTCATCAATTAATTGCTTTCCTGTTTTATCCTTTGAGATGAGCTCATTCAATTGTTTTACTACTTTCTTCATCAAATATCTGTGGTCATTCTCTTGAAAAGAATTATTTCTATGAACATAAGTAAATATGGCCCAATCATCTAAAAACTAAATTACATTCCTGGACGGGAAAAATAGTAAACTGCACCAAGTAACATCAGGTGTTAGTACTTCAAACCAAAAGGGAAAAGAATAGTCACCGTTCATTGATTAATGTTGGATGTTGGCCAAACTCATCTGCCGTTGCATCATTTGGCACAGGTATCACCTCTTTAACATTATTGTTATTATCTGAAGAAGTTTGCCCCTCTACCTCCACTAGCTTAATTGGTCTCTTAACATTTTCAGAGAACGACCCAGTGGCAAACACAGAAAATCTATTTTGCTCTCCTGCTTCATTGCTTGGATTCATCAAACATGAATAACATAAATCAACAAACACCGTTCAACAAAAGCTCAAAGCCATAAAAACGCAACACACATGTTCATTTCAATATGTTCTTGAGAAAGTCTTCAACCATCTTTATTGACTCATGACCGTTCAAAACATCTTCTAAGAGAAAATCATGAATTGCATTCTTACATAAATCTAAGATTTTCACTTATTCTTATTAAGAACAGAAATCATCTTGACAATTTATCTCATATGAGACAATTTGTATAGTAGGAACTAACCCAGTTAGCTGACCATCCTCAATAGTGCCATCAGTAGTTCCATTTACTCCAATAACAGAATCACCATCAAACTCTGTCTTCATATCACTGCTTTCATGTAAAACTTTGTGCTCTCCCTTGGTTTTATTATTGCATAAGGTGGAAATGGGATGGTTATCTTCATCTAAACTTTCCAATTCTGAGAAAGGAGTGCCAGCTTTTACAACATTTTTCTGTTGAGAACTTTCGTCATCGTCGGATTCACTCATTTGGTAGCTCTTTCTAAGCCGCCTACGGCTGCGAGTATTTTTTCTGGTTTTGTTCTTGCCAAAAGATTCATCTATAATCACCAGATTGAGACCAGTCAGACTAATGAAAATCAAGTAGCATATTCATATTGCAATCAGTACAATTTGGCTTACTATTAAATATAGCAAAATAAATCTTATTTCTTATAGAATAAGAACAACTTTTTTGCACTCAACAATATCAAGGTATTTTATTATTAAAAAAAAATTATAGGAATATATACAGGAGATATGATGTGTAGCATAAAAGCAAATTGTTTGAACATAGATGATATGGGCCCAATAAAAGGTATATAGATCGCTAGCAACTAAGGAATGGCCTCGTAGGAACATCCCAGAACCAGACACCATATGCCATTTTTCATCACAAAATGTGCAATTAAGTTCCTATTGGTTTAGATTACTGATGTTCGAATCAAGCTAGCAAATACCCAAAAGGATACAAATATGAACCTGGGTCTAAAAAATATTTGGTGGTAATATCAATTTCATCCCTCTTTTGTGAGATACAATGCAACAAGAGTACCAGTTGGAGTATGCTAACATTTGTGAGAAATATAGAACCTAGATGCAAATCAAACTCATGCACCAGACAATCTAAAAATTCGAACAAGCTAAGTGCCTAATAAATAATCTTAGAAGCATATCAATTGTAATTAGTATAACATCTGTATTTGAGAGAGGGAGAGGAGAGAGATATAACAACACAATCAAGATACAAACCTTCTTCATTTGAAATTGGAGAAGGGGGTAAAACTTCTGGATCCTCGTCATTGATAAAACTATCCTCATACTTGTCTTCATCAGCATACTCAGAGCTCTGTGTTTCAGTGTTCGCAATATCTTCCCCATAGGATTCTCTTTTTATTTAATTGGTTAAAGAAACATAAAGAAAATCCACGTGAAACGATACAACCAACAAGTCCCAGAAAAACTCCAATCATTGTATCCCATTTTTAAAAAACAAACAAATGATGAGAAGAGAACACAAAAAACATAGTAATTTAACTAAGGATATATTACTAACGAACAAAAAAAAACATAGTAATTTAAATATATATAGATATATGATACATATGCTTAATGAATTGGACATCCCAAATAATACAAGAAATTTAATTATACTAATTTGAAATAAAGGCGGGGATTCGAAAATCCGACCTTTTACGGGTATAAGGCTTAACCATTTGAACTATGCACAAATTGGCTATAGTAACTTGAAAAAATGAATGATGCCCATGCTATCTCCTGACAGTAAAGAAAAAGCTTAGGAACATTTTATAATTTCTTATCTTTACCCATTATCCCTCATAATTGGAGGATGACAAGTACTACAACATAAATAAATACAGTTTACAGAGGTAAAAACAGTTATCCACCCGCTGCACAAATTAATGGATACGTATCATCATTTACATTATTATTCCGATAACTGCCTAGAAAATAACCAGAAAGATGAATGCTTCGAGGACCGAGAACAGAGAAAATGACTTCATCAGCCTCTTCATATTCCAAATTTAGTTGCAAACACTCAGTCTTCTCAGGAAACAATGAGCATAGATAGACAGGACTCTTATTTCCCACATTACACTGAAGAACGCTCTTCTTCGTTGCCGTACCAAACCCCAATGTTGCCTGAGATTATCCAGATACCACATTACACCAGTGAGCAAAACTAATTCAGTATCCTAAACCTATCCAGATACCACATTACACTGAAGAACGCTCTTCTGAACCTAACCGTGTAATATCTCCAATCAGAGGTTCAAATGGAAAAAGAGAGAAGAAAGTGTAATCATTACCAGTGAAACATGAAGCCTTCCTTTAAAATAATCAAATTTTTGAGTGAAGGGCTTTCCAGGCTTCACTTCAGTTCCTGGGAAACTAACAAACAGAAATGAGAAACTCAAAGCAAACTCAGAAAATTAAATCAAAATGCTCCCAATAAATAACTCCAACCAACAATCAGATTCCTTAAACAGTTCCGATGGATTCTCAGCAACCAACCGGGCACGAAAAGCAAGAGATTAAAAGATAAACCGAAATGCTAAGAAAAAAAAAAAAGAAAAGAAATGGTGAATATAATACAAATGATGGATAAGTTTACCCCAGAAAGCCATGTTTGAGAAGGTTGGAGACCCAACCAAGGAGAGAGTTGCAGAAATGTCGCTGCTAAAACCCTAACCCTAGCCCCCGAGAGAGAGAGTTCAATTGGGGCTCCGGTCCAACAATTGGGATTGTGTGAGATATTAGATAAACCGAACCCGGTTTCTGTGGGACCCACTGAAGCTCTTGGCGCGCTCTCGAGGGTGTGGCCATCTAATACCGTTACCACGAACACACACGTGGGAACGAATAACGGTTGTTTTTTCAACTGTTTTCCTGTACATTTATTTTTTTTTTTTTCCGAATGGATGTTGTGGCTTACGTGGTGACTCTTATAATTGAGACCCGTTGAGCAATACAGTAACCAATACAAAACTCGAATTCAAAGTCTCATGGTAGGTAATACACAAGGCTCAAAATTCTTGAGCCATTTCAAGAGACCTAATCATAAGTAAATTTTATTAAATTTGCAACCGTTCCAAAAGTATATATTATTATAAATTTTAATTAAATATTGTAATTGCTCGATGTTTAGTGTTTCGTGTCCCAATTAAAAGTATCTTAATGTCATAACTCTATAGGTATGAATTCCCTCCGTTTGTTTAGTGTTCCAATCTAAGTGTCAAATAGATTTATCTCCTATGTGCCTAATCTCAATATTTCACGTGTCTCATTTGTGTCTCATTTTTACCTATCATTAGCATCCAAATAGCCACCTCATGGTGCCTAATGTGCCTATAAATAGAGTATTTTAGGGATATTTTGTGAAGAAAATTTTGATTATGAAATTTTTATTTTCTTTTTATATTTTATCCAATTTTAATTCTCTTAGCTCCTCAAATTCACAACACATAAATATTTAATTAGGTAATTTTTATCTAATTTGCTTCTAAAGGTTGTCATTTCGTAACAACAAAAAAAAAATCTGCCCCTATGCTCTACAGTATCTGGTTTTTTTTAGTACCAGTATTTGGTCATTTAATGTAGACATAATCATTTTGCAACATTTTAATCTCTTTTTTTTCCCCTTCTGTGTTCAACTTTTTGAAAACATGAACAAAAGTACATTTTATCAATTCTCTAATAGTAAATCCAACATGATACTTTTTAGTATTTTATTTTAAAAGATAATTTTCAAGTAAAACTTTACTTATTGGCAAAAAAAACGTGGAACTTTATTTTCACCAAAAGAATTGGAGATAGTTACTACTTGAAAAATAAAATTAAACATACCTTAATTACACTCCCCTGCAGCATTCAGTGAGATGAAAATATAATTAAAGATCATCTATCTAACGAAGTCGAGCTTCAAAATTTTTTTTACTCTATTTAAATAGCTACCAAAAAACACAAAATACAAATCTCAAGTTCAACCAATAAATTATGATACCAACAACCATTTTAATAGCTCGAAGGTTTCAAGTACGCACTTTTACATTTGTAATATTATATTCTAAAAGCAACTATAACACAACCCTCGAAGAAAAAGAGGGAAGACAGAAAACGAAAACGATTATCGATACGATTTAAAAGGAAGTTGTTTAAAATTTGATTCACTTCCTCCGCAAGCACAACTGTGTATTAATTGTTGTGAAGGGGAAATGGTGTTAGATTAGAAGTACAAATCATTTATACTGAGAATAATAATACATGGAGATGAGTTGAGCTTTTTGAGAACCACTTTTAACCATAAGATAAGAAAGCAGCACCGGGGACTTCCACTGTCTCGTCTCTTTCCGTCAACCGCTTCATTTTCTGCAATATTTTCAAGAGGGAATTACAAAAACAACATAGTATTTATATTTATAACATTATTTTTTTAATTTGTATTAAAAATGACATGAGGTACAAATTTAAACAATTACATGAGATAACTCAAAAGTCACTTTCGTAACATTTTTGAGAAAAAAAATAGAAGAAGTAATGATATTCGTTTATTTTATGTCATTTAGTATAAGAAAAAGAGGTGGACATAAGAGAAAAGCAGAAAAAGGAGGAAAAAGCACGTATAGAAATTTCCCTATTTTCAAACATACTGTGAATTGGGGAAGAAGAAAAATGATGCCAACTCTCACTAAAAACAAGAACTAAAAGTAGTTAAGCAAACAAAACAAACAAAATTTTTACATCTATAGTTGACATATACATATATCAATACAAAGATTGACGATTCGAGTCCTCATCTCCACATATTATTGAAGACAAAAAAAAAAAACTATATCTACAAATAATATCACATTTACCCATCTTTAACAAAATGGATAAAAATAAATAAATCAAACATTTGTGTCTTTAATTTTAATAACAAATTACTAGTTTGAGGTTTGAATCCTAAAATATTTTGACGAATACTAAAATATTTTTTTTTAAGAAAAACAAAAGTGCAAAAGTTATAATAAATGGTTAAATTTGAAATAAAATAATTATCATTGAGCAATATTGACAACTAATCAAAATAAAACAGTATATATGACCAAATCTATAATATGAAAACCGTTCAAAATAATGGTTAATAAAATCATTACTAATCTAGCCCTTTTGTTTTAAGATTTGGCTACAAGTTTTAAAATATTCCTAAAAATGGACTATTACACAAGCATTATTTTAAAAATAGAAAACCATTAAGTACCATCACCATAAAAAATATGTTATTCATAACTACTATTCTATTTCTAATATTCATAGCTTCTTCCACCAACAACATGAAAAGCTAAAACACAAACATTATCTCAATTACGGTACGACAAAAACAAAATAGGGTAAAATAGATTTTTGGTGTCTGAGTTTGAATATTGATTTTTCTTTGGTCCCTTAGTTTCAAAAGATAGTTTAGTTTCCGATGTTTAAATAATTGTTCTAAAAGATTCGTAGAATCAAACTAAATGTTGATGGGCCATTGATGAGTCGATGATACAGTAATATTTATTAATTTTATAATATTTGTCGCTTATGTGGCAGTTTTTTTACCTACCCTCCTCTCCTCGTCTTCTCCTGTACTCCACTTTTCTGGGATATTTTTCTCAGATCCCTTTCTCACTTTATCTTTCCTTTCATTATCTTCTTCTCTGCTCCACTTGCCAGAACGAAGAACAATAGCTGCATTAGCCTCGATTTGAGGTACCCATCTTCAGTTTCAATTGCAATTGAACTCTGACCAAGATCTTGTTTCTTCAGAATTTTGGTGTTTTGAAGTAAAACTCATCGATTTGATGTTCCTAGAGTCTAAGATAATTGATTGCAGCTTCTTTTTTCTTTTATTTCTTCTGAATTTGATTCTGGGTCTTTGCGTTTTTCTTGTGTTTGATGAAATGACAGTAGGAAAAGGGTGTTCGTTTGATCAGAGTAGCTTGGTGGGTTTGAATTGGAGGTGATTTTGGGTTGGTTGAGAATAATTAGATCTACTCTTAAGGCTTAGCTATTTCGTCTATTGGCAACAGAAGTGCAAAGCTTTTGAGAAGACGGTGTACTCTGTTCAACTCTGTTAAGAAAGCCCCAAAATCAACCCAGAATAGAAAAGGCCCGCCGAATCTGGAGCCGCCCCAGAACACCAGCCCTAAGGTTCGAGCAGATCAACAATGGCGGACAACAGAAAAAGTAAGGGAGAAAATCTACAGAAATGGGTGCCTGTGAAGTACCGGAGAAGAGGAGGGAAGAGAGATAAAAGAGAGGAGAGAAGGTAAAACAATTGCCACGTAAGCTAAAAATAATATAACAATAATAAGTATTGCATCTCATCAAACTCATTAAGGACGCATTAGCATTTAGTTTGATTAGATCTTTTAGAATTATTTACCAGAGTCCAGATCAATCTGTCGCTTCTTAAAACTTAGACATCTAATAGAGACTTATCCTCAAATATCAAAAGTGTATTTTACCCAACAAAATAATATCATTCAAATGCTTATGAATCGGTAGATATCTTCCTATTTATCACAATTAAAAATTTGACACCTGTTTATTTTTTCTCTTCCTTTTAGGTGCATCCCTCTTGGGGTTTAAATTTTTTAATAATGGTACCTATTAACCTGTGAACACCTAAATACCTAAATATTATTCAGAATTGAGGTAAAAATAAGACAAAGTAACTCAGCAGCAAAGCATTATAATATATCATGCATTTAGAAGATGAAAAGTTAAGGTAATGAGCGGCGAGTTGCTACCGTGATATATTGGGGAGGATCATCCAAACTGGAGCAACCTAGCACTATTTCTCTTCTAATTTTTGCTGTGAGCTTGTGACAAACTCGCAACTGAAAGTAACAATAACAAAAGAAAAAATCAAACCAAGATCAAATGTAGGATGGATTCCGAACTAATTGAGAGTGAGCAAGAGAATGGTTCATAAAATCATACCTCGGATCGAGTAGCTCCACCAACAATAAATATAAAAACACGTTGTCCCATCTTCTTAAAATCGATAGTTGCAGCTTTCAAAACGGAGTCACTGTGAAAAGCATTATGCATCATGCATTAGGAAAAAGAAAGTGCTATAATCTTTATTGATGAACTTAAAAGTTATTTCATATCATCGATCATACCAACTTTTGAACAATCAAGATAGATATAAAAGACTAAATTTACTGTAACCCACTTTGAGTTCATTAATAATTTAACATGATATTAACGTTGGAGGTCTTATAGAACTTATGTAATGTCATTTCTTAAACTTTTGGACTGATCGATGATTTAACATAAAGTATAATCCCCACTCCCCATTATCCTGGCAGCAAATATTAGATTGGAAAGAATAAAATCATCAAGGACAATTAAATCCAGTAGTTCGTCCAAACAACACAACTAAGTAACAAGGGAGAAGAAAAGAAATTTGAGAAATTAATTGACATACCTTCCGTATCCATCGTCAGAAATACTAGATCGTGCCCAATTTGCTGTTCGTCTTGATCTCATTGATTTTGGACCACCAGTAGACGTAGTCTGGCTAGTTGCACTATGAGTACCTTTTTGGGAAGCTTTCTCAGTAGATGGAGGTGGTTCATTCATACATGAATAGCCACTTTTTGATATTTCACCTTTGCTCAATTTTTCAATAAGTTCCTGAAAAGTATTCAATCATAGTTTGAAGTTCAATCTTCAGGCAATGCCAAGATCAAAATGGTCTTACTTCATGTTCTTTATAACGAAGGCATGTTCCAGCCTCTCTGTTTCTTCTTAACTATGCATATAACTGATACCACATTAGAATGAAACATTCAAGTGAAAAAAATCCACTGGAAAAAAAAACTATTCCTGTCAAAAAGTTCATTCGACATGTCACGTAATATGAAACTTTTATTTTTCTACTTATCCTTTCAAGTCCTTTTAATCAAAGAACAATTGTATGAGCTCACCAAATTGGCACTATCTCAGTGGCAACAGCCAATAATAATTGGGTAAAAACAATAGGAAATACATAACAGACGGTAATTATAGTTGGTTGAAAGTGTATCCACGTCAGTGTCCTGTTTATTGCATCTAAAGAAACTAGATTATAAGTTATGGTATTTTGTATTGTAAGGCATTGTGGACCGTTTAAGAAACAGAAACTAATTCATTTACAGTCGCTTGTTATCGTGCTAGAAGGAACATAAAACCCAGCAACTTCAATTCTCTATTCGTAATCATTTTATTTCTAATTTCCTGTTTAAAAAGCAAGGATACTTACCAACAAATGATTGAAATGAATGGTTTCTATTTCTTAAATGAATTATAATGACTCATGCTATGGGTTTTCTTTTTAAAAACACATTTGAAATATCAAGCAAATAAACATACACAAAAATTAAAATGTACATTACACGACAAAGAAATTATTAAAAAAGAAAAAAACAGACAATCGAACATAAATTTAATGTCAGACAAAACCTTAAATTATTAATAGATAGAGACATAGATAGTATGGGGATAGCATATGCAATGCTACAAAGCCATTTTCAAGGCATGTTACCATAAAAAAAATTTCCCGTAAATTGGCATAGATATTTCAACAAATACTTCTATATATAAATAAATTATCAATCTAGTGGCACTTGATTTATCCTCACCAAATCATGTGAGACTAAATGTTTTTTATTTCTTTTGGAGCTCAAACAAAGATGTGGATGTAGGATGATCTTAAGAAAAAGATCAAACTGCCAAGTACATAAAAAGATCGAGAAATTGAGAATAATTAAAATCCTTCATGTATCATATCACTAAAAACCAAAGTTGTTTTCCATAGATATCAGTCAATTTCATTATCTTCTATTCTTCCCTTCGATGGAAAGGCTTAAATTTCCTTTTCCCCTTTATATCAACCTCAAAGTCCATAACTTTTATAGAAGAGCCACAGAAAGAAAACTAAAAAATTATTGAAATCGGAAGTTAAATACTGTTGCCAAAAAGTATGGAAAGCTCCTTATTAGCAAACCTCTAACATGGGGTAAAATCGAAATAGCTGCCATGTTTCTTCTTCACCCGTGCGGTCCTTTCTTGCCGCTTGTTTTGTCTGATAATAAAAGGTGTTAAATCTTTTAGATGCTTGCACCAGCTCTGCTCTAAATTCAACATTGGACTTGATTAATATCTTACAATAACTTATGCTTACCTTTTGTGCATTAAATTTTAGGGAGAAACCATCAGTTGATGATGCCTTTTTGGATTCTGACCCTCCCAGCAACCGCATGTTCTTTATTACCTTCATATCGTCAGCTGATAACTTAGCCAACTAATTCAAAAAATGAAAAGATTAGTCAATGCAGTTATATTATTAACTTCAGCTTCAATAAATAATTAACTCGTACTATTAAAAAATTTACCAATCTTTAAAATAGAAGATGAAAATATTTGAGTAAGAAAGCCAAAATGGAGGAAATGGTAAAATGGCTAATGTCTAGCCCCTACAGATTCTTATCTCTCATCCATCTTCAATAAATAATAACTCAAGTGTTACCTGCATTATCTTTATGGCTCTGTCGTCCTCAAACTTCTCAGGATATACAGACGCATAAACCATCAACAAACGTAATTTATTTTCCGGACTTGAATTCTGCATAGGAAAAGAGAAGTTGAAGAAAGATTATAGACAATTATCTGAGCTTTTTACACGAACATTTTACCATATTCACTCCTTAGCATATTACCTGATTTGTCCTTAAGAAGTTAATAACATCCTTGGCTCCCGCATCTCCAAAAACCAAATCCTGCTCCAGTTGTCCAAGTTCTCGAAGTCCCATTTCTCTAATAAGTTTGTTTATTTTTCCAGCAATCTATATCAAATAATAAGAAAGATAACAACCAACATGGAAAACAATGTGATAGTTGATTCATTTTAGCAACCAGGGGCTTCTTATCAAACCCAAGTAATGCTTGCTTTTATTTTTTATTTATTTATTTATTTTTTTAGTTTGGGGGAATTGCAAATTTTTTCTTATGTTTATAGAAAATGTAAGATGTCTGCAATCCCGACCGTAAAAAAAGAAAGATTCAATAAAATTAAAATTATAATGCCTTCGCAACTTCATTATATTTCAGCTCAAGAGTGGATACTAGTAATAATAAGGGGCAGTTGCAAATATGTCAAAAACATTTAGTAAAATGAGCAAAATAACAACTACATTTTTTTTTTCAAATATAGCTCTTTCTTTTTTTATAAAAAAATAGAGGTCCAATTTTTAAATGACAATTTTACCTAAATTATATACATCTATAATATATCTGTAATATATCTGACTACTGATATATGTATATAATGTACATCTGATATAGTACCGATATGAGTATCTGATATACTTGCAATATGTATGTGATATACATTTGTTATACTATTTATATGAGTGTTTGTGCAATATGTATGTGATATACATATGATATACTATTGATATGAGTGTAGTATAGCAATATACCACTGTATAAATAAAAATTTGTGCTATATTTGAAAATTTTAAAAAACAAGTGACATTTTAAAATACATAAAATATTTTTGCTACCCACTGCAATTTTCCTAATTATAACTTACCAATCTTCATTTCCAAAACATGAGAAAAATGGGAATAAGCTAATCCCAGATAATAATTAGCTCTTAAAGTGGAAATAACCAACATGAGAAACAAACCTCAACATGAAGAGTAATCTTTTCAACTTGTTCCGTGTATTGTGGTAAAGCTTGAACCATTTTTTGTAGGTCTCGGGTAGAAATTTCGCCATCTCTGAAAAAAGCAACTTCAATATTTAAGAGCTAGAAATATGAAAGATGGGAAATAGATGACCTTCAATGTAGAAACCATCATGACAAACTATTACAAAAACAAATCCAACGATTTGACAACTTATATTTTATTTAAAATGAAAAGGATAACAAAAAAGTCTAAACAGTACTGAAATGAACCTTGCACTTTTTTGAAGTTGCGCAGCTTTATTTTTAGATACAAAATTGGTCATCTTCTCGTGTAAACGTTCACTAGCCTGTTATATCAGTTGGTGAAAGGAGAAAATGAATAGATAAATCATATGATTGGAAAAAAAATGTCATGGAAAGGACATACATCTGCAATATGTGCATGTCGAAGCTCAAGCCAAACTGGATCATTGTCTTCCAAAAGGGCCTCTCTTTTTTCGGGTTCACCTCCTGTCTTGCTGGATACCTATCGACACAATATGCATAATTTATATATTTGGAAAGAAAGGGAAAACGCCAGGAAATTGAGCAAGAGAATGAACTTGGCACATTAACTGATAAAGTTCATACCTCATACGTGTACTTATTTCCATCCATTTCTAACAAATCGCGACACATAGCATCATAAGTCCACTCATGAATAATAGGGGCAATCTATAGTTTGAGTTCAAAACATTAAATAATTAAACTAGACAGAAAGTTACATCATCACTTGGAACAGAGAATTAAAGTAACCTGATCAATGGATCTATCCAAGATGAGCAGCTCACATGTTTCAGACTGAGGGTAGTTGGGAATGGTAGTTTTATACTTTGAAATACAGTTCCAGATGGCAGCAGCAAGTTTTGTAGGTACTAATTCACGATTTGATGCTGCAGTGGGATCATCCAAAGCCTTGGAAGCTCGATATCTCACAAATGGAAACTCCTAAATAAGGGAGAGGATTTCGTAGGCATCAATCATTAAACATTAAATACTAAACAATCGCCATTTATTAGCTTTGTTGCTTTGATCCACGACAAAGTAATAATTTGATGCAGACAGATGGTGATAAAGTTTTTCATAATTACCCCAAATTTAAGTTAGCAATATAATTAACTGTTTTCCTATACAGCCATACAGRATACATATTTAGCTGCATGTCTGTAGTAGTTCTTAAAATGAAGAAGTTCGGCGGGAAGGAAAACAGCAAAAAAATAATGGAGTATTAAGTCAGCTCGGCATGCTGCTAAACAATAGTCGCTAGTCCAGCAACCAATAACTACTCTCATCTATACTTAGTTCAGACTCAATAAAAGCTCGAAACCAATCACAAATAGAAAACATAGACACATCATTCCTAGAGTGGTAACCTTTAGTGAAGCAAAAACAGTTGCAATTCTTGTCGCCATTGTGTTCAAGCAACTATCAAATCTACGAGTATTCTCAACATCACCAAAAATATCTTCTAATGCCCTTTCTTGATCAGTGATAAAGGCCTGCATTTATGTCACTGTCAGTTCACTGGTCATCGTAAAGCAAAAAGTGAAGCAAAAACGAAGTATATGGAAGATGAAAAAGCATCACATAATATCTTTAATTCCTGCGACTAAATTTCATTATTAGACTGTAATAAGCAAGCTGGAGAAACAGAAACCATATATTTTATGCTCCTCTAGGCCTGGAAGATTTTTTCAGTTTGGCTTATCCCTGTGGTGAGATAAAGCAAGACAGGTCAAGTTCTTAAAAGTATGATAATAATAGAGAAATCGCAATCATCTCTTTATAAAAGTCAAAATTTCCAATCTAATTTGACTGCATCTGATTAAGCTTGTCGCTCGGATATGATGCTTGGTCAAGTTAGTTTGTTAACAGACCACATGCAACTAAATCTATGAGACTATCAATATGATCATTACTATAATACTTCACAATTGGTGATGGTTTGGTTTTCAGATTTCAAGCCTTACTACTAAATAAAGTAATCAAGATAAATTAAGAATTGGCTGCTCAGAAGTTTATTTGCAAGGAACCAAAAGCCACAAGAGAACTTCACCATAACAGGCTTTCCTTCTTCAATTTAATGTTTTCAAGGAGGCAAGTGGCAAGATGGGGAAGGCAGTTCCCACCTAGTGGTTGTCATGGCAACTGCCTCGGTCATTTCTATTACATCTTAAATAAGTAACGCAATCTTTGAGATATTTATCTTTAAAATCATATGTTTTATACTATGTTATCATTTATTCATATTCTATTTACAATAAATAGTTACATTCTTTTTCTACCTTTATAGTATGTACCTCACCTCACCTCACTGAGGCATTTTGTACACCTCTCACCTCTAAATAAGTGAAAAATTTATCACTTAAGTGCACTTTTCACGATGAAAAAATTGCTTCAGTCACATTTTCCGAGTAACAATAACAATCTTCCCCATTATGCCCTAATCAAATCCAATTCAATAGGTGGTCCTTACTCAATTAAAAATGCTCCTGAATAGAATAAGTAAACACAAAAACAAAGTTTCCCCTTTACTTCTATTCCGCAGATTGGGATGGTGACGAATAAATCTGATGTAAATTTTGTAAGAAGCTTTTGCAATTAAGCAACAAACTTTTTCCAAATGAAAATGTCAGAACGAAAAAATATTAAATTAAAAAAGTGAGAGAGAGAGACAACAAAAACAATACAATCTGGAAGAAAGAGACGATAATTGCTCCCTCGAAACAACTTACGGTGAATCTAAAAGACTCTTTTGCCAGAAAAAAAAAGAAAAGAAAAAGAAAAAAAAAAGAAGATGAATCTAAAAGACTAAAATTACAGTATTGCCAAAATTTGAGTTCCAGAGAACTCTCACACAGTCAAGCCACAGATTTGTCTAATAAATATAACAATGAAATTACAAATCATGCATTCATTGTGCATCTTAAAGCCACGAATGTTATCATCAAGTACCTGGCTATCAATGGGGAAGTACTCAAGATTCATCTGCAGTAAATCAAGAAAAGCAAAATGAGAAGATGGAAAGAAAGACTGGCGATAAATATCATATATAGCAGAAGCTTTTAAGAATAAAATGAAGACACCAACCTCTCTTAATGCACCTATGCGGGGTAAGACACTTGTATCACCCTTGATGTGATTAATAAATTCTTTCGGGACGGGTGAACTGAAAAATACAAATGCTCTGGAGCCAAGCAAAACAGACATTAGAAACGATCAGGAAACAAAACATATAAATGGTATGAAGATTGCAAGAAGAACGTGGGGGCCATTTTACATACTTCTTGTATAAAGGTTCCCTTCCAGACATGTCAGACAAGAACATGACAATACTGCATGCTAGAAAAAGATACAGTTAAAAAGAGTCCATGGGCATACATTCAAGTCAATTGCAGAACTGTTCAACAGCAAATGCTATTGAAAGAATTTGACAGGAAAATGATACGTGCCTGAAGTCATAGCTGGTTCGACTTCAGCAGCAGAAAATACAAATTACATACGTCTTCCATACTATAATAAGCACACACCAATTCTTATCCTCACGTGCAACAATGAAAATCTTCCAAATGACAGAAATACATGCCATGCATGTACAGGACATATAACCTTACAAGAAAAGAAGGCAAAAGAATTTGACTAGGGACCTCACAAAGTTCTACCACCTTGTTAATCATTAAATGCTCTAGAAACTTAAACTGTTAAAAGGAGCTGAACAATCACTAAGTTTATTAAAAAAAACGACAAATACCTTTTTTAGTTTCAATCAATGCAGAACCAAGCCTGAAACTAAGAAAACATTTTCATGAAATTTTAAAAATATAACTCCTCTGAAGAATACAAATGACTTAAAAAGTCAAATTTAGTAAACTCAACCAAACCCGAAGTTTTTCGTTTGGTGATAGTCCGCATTTAAAGTAAATAGAAAGCAATAAGTAGGCAACTTCTTTGATAATTTACATACGCTACGTGAAGCAGGTGTGCAGTGACTACTTCTATTTACAAATATAACAAAAACAAATCAACGAAAGAATTAGAATAAGAAATTTTCATGCATCACAGATTCACCAGTGCTTCAGGCTCGTTGAAAAACTGGAATATAAGGTATAGAAGCTGATCTGAATTTTGGAAATGCAAAAGAAAGTGATAGATTACAAGATTGTGGTTGCTAGCGAATGTTAAGAGCAAAGCATACTACCAGCCTAAAGTATATGAAAATTTATTTCACGAACAAAATATATCTTACTTCTCTTTGGATGGCTGGACAAAATAAATAGCATCCATTGATGGCAATGGCTGCCTTCTTCTAAAGAGGTCTTCAACAACTGCAGTAAAAGAAGAATCTATAGTGAGCTATCATAACCAGAGATAACTGGTTAAGGTACAAAGTATATTAAGACTTCCACATAGTTGATCGGCCGAGTGGAAACATAATTTAGGATGGATTACAGAACAACAATTACAAAACGATGAAAATAGTGGAACAGAGTTTAGGATAGCATGTACCACACACCCAAAACAATTAAATGACTATATTTCAGATAGAAGCTAGAGTTAGGGAATGGATAGCAAAAGCAAAAGCAAAAAAAAAAAAAAAAAGACCTACGTGAAACTCCTTGGTCTGTGATGTCGGCCATTTTACACGAGTGAGACATGACTTTCACAGTCACTTTATCCATGATTAGTACCTGCATATGAGTTAATGAAGGATCGATCATCGAAAAAGGAACAAGAGAGAGAGAACGACAGTGTTCAAAAGAATCACAGTGGCTCTACGCTGTTGCGCAACGAAGCTTCATATCATAATTCAAAATGAGGGAACATGATTTGAAGAACATACCTTCCAAGGTTTTGAATCCCCCGAATTAGCCGCTCCTAGCATTTCGAACAATAATCCTGCGAGTAATTCAACCGTATGTCATGAGAATGCACTTGGCACAGTAGTAGAATAAGAATTCACACGATAACAAAATCAAACACTCAGATTCTTCAAAATCCGTGCACATGAGAATCTCCACATCTCTTAATTCCAAAACAAACGCAATCAAACACCAAAAACGATACAAATTAGGAATTAAAATCAGTTTAAACTGACAACTAAATCGACCGATTTGCATTCCGCCATTGTTTTAGTTCCAAATAGAGCATGCAAGAGAAGGAGAGCTTACGATCCCGAGTGGCTTGACGGAAGTTCTTGTACTCGTTGGCTCCGCCGACGGAGGACGAATCGGAATCCGAGAACGACATTGTTGAAGAGCAAAACAAGGAGATGAGATTGTGGATTTTCAACGCACTGTACAACGAAGTTCAGATCAAGAGAAACATGATGATTTTCAGAGAAGAAATGAGAGAGAGATTTGGCATTTGTGTTGAGGAAAATGGAGAAATTGAATGGAAGGGAAGGGAAGGTCGTTATATTCGGAAGCTAAGCGCGATGCAAGCGAGGGCGGGAACTTCGCTAACGTTTTCACTGGCCAACCAAATAAATTTTTTTTCTCGCATGTTTTCAATATTTTGTTTCATTATTATGGAAATTGACTAAATATTGAAAGTTTTAAGCTCTCTGAGCAAGTTTGATAGTTATCTTTTTTTTTTATTATTATTATTATGGTTTCTCATCCTAGTTTACTACCCCGTTTGATCAGTGGTCCATGCAGGATTCTATGTCAACAGGGCACAAATGTATAAAAATAACAATCAATTTTAGACTAGAATTTGACGATGTTTATCAATTTACACCTTATAATTGGACAATGTTGTAATTTTTACCTTGAATTTAAAATTGTGTCACACAATTTACATTCGACTGATTTTAGTTTGAGTTTTTTTTTTTTTTTTTTGAGAAAGCATTTGAAAATTTGTTGAAAAAAATAATATTACGTGTCAAATTAATCAGAAAACACATGTTTTGGTATGAAAATAATTGATAGGATTTAGACAAAATCAACGTTAGAGTTGTTCTAAATTTGTAAGTTTTGGCAGAATTATTTAACTGTAGACGTTATGCATTAATCAAACTTAATTTGAGAATCTTGATTATAAACATAGTAAGTTTCTGTAGATTTTATTAATTAATGAGATGAATTATAATAAATTTAATAGAAAGATAAAAAATTATAACATTTATCTAACTTTATGATTATGAACTTAAATTTATTAAAAGAAATACCTTCACCTGTATAAATTTAATTAGATAAACAAAGATAAACAAAATGAAAAATAGGTGAGATTCAAACTTGGGAGAGGAGGGTGGAGCACCAACGGACCATACGTACTTCTTTAATTTAAATTGCATGCTAAACAATATTTAACTAAAATTCAAGGGGCACATGCCACCCCTGTCCCTTCGTAGATTCGCCCTTGCTTTTGGTGGTATTTGGTAATTACTCATTTTCATTTTTAAAAAATCTTTCCAAAATTATAGAACAACGAAATCAATAATTATTCTCGTTTCTCATTTTTTTCGAAATAAAAATAAATGATTATTTTATCCTTCTTAGCTGTAAAATACATATATATATATAACATACAAATTTAAATATTTATTTTAAAATATCTATTTTTTTAGTTTAAAATTTTAAACAACTAGAAAGAATATGTGATTATCAAATATATTTAAGGAAAAAAAAAACAAGAAACAAGAAATAGATACTCAATCCATATTTGTATGTATTAAAAAAGTATGAAATAATAAATAGGAAATTGAATCGATATGAAATGGGTTATAAAATGCCAATGAATGATGAATTATTAATAGGAAAGTTTTTAGAATTTTATTTGGTTCTTTTAAAATTCATTTATTTGGTAGAATAGAGTAAATATTGTTGATGCGTGGATTTCGGTCCTCCGGTTCACTACCTCGCATCCACCAAACTTGTTGATCCGGGACTAGTACCTGCAAAATCAAATCGAGCTAAATCGGTGTGACTCTAGTCACACGGGCTCCGATGCTTAAGTTAGTAAGAGAATAACGTAAATGTAGTCAACTCTCTTCCCCCCATACCTCGAAGGCTGGATCAATACTTATAGCGTGAAGTTGTTCCAGAATCTTCCGTAGCTAACCCTAATTCACCGTTGCAGGGCCTGGGCGACATCGTCGATCGAAGACGGGG